TTTGAACAATTGTTCATACACATATTAATTAATATATTAATTAAATTATTGTTTATTTAATCTCATTTACTAATAACCGTTAGATGAGAAAATGAACGATTAAGATGGGTTAGCATAGTTTGCACAAAATATTGGGTTAGTATTTGAACCAGCCCCTATATATATATATATATATATATATATATATATATATATGGGCTCATTGAAGAAAAAACTGATTAGTTTGTGGTAACTGTGAGATCCAATCTTAACCACAAATCAATGGATAAATTAGGAAATTAATAATTATGGTAGTTTGAGTTAAAATTATAATTAGATGACATTTTAGGTATTTTTAAAAAACTCTCCTCTCCTCTCTCCTCTCTCCGACCTCCAATCTCCGGCCTCCGGTGAACATTAATCCGGCAGGTACCAAGTAATCACAAAGATGCACAATGTGATACCCATTGTGATACCATTGTGATACCAAATATGATACCAACTCAAATCTTAAAAAACAAAGATACACAATGTGATACCGATTTCACCGAAGATCGGAGGTCGGAGAGATGAGAGAGGAAAGAAGAGTTTTTTAAAAATACCTAATATGTTCTTTAATTATAATTTTAACTTAAACTACCATAATTATTAATTTTTTAATTTATCCGTTGATTTGTGGTTGAGATTGGACCTCACAATTACCACAAACTATTCAGTTCTCATTTGATTAGGCTCACATATATATATATATATATATATATATATATATAATGTAAAAGTATACAAGTATAACCAAGGCAGAATCCTGGGCCTACCTTCCAGATTCTAAACTTAATTTTCACGTAAAAGAATAATTTGTTAAGAGGTTTGCATGCATGCATGCATTAATTATATTGTAATTATTATTATTATGGTTTGCCACGCTTTTCTGAAATAAGGGAATGAATGGCATCGGAAAGCTTATTAATGGACGCGACCAAACCCACGATCCCTTGACGGTTCATTTCGTTTCGTGTTTCTTCCAACCGAAGCCTTTGTTCTTCAAGTTCCATCAACTCCCGGTGTCGTTTCTCCTTTTTCTCCTCGTAGCTTTTTAGGGTTTGGGACAAGAGCGTGGTGCTGTCCACGATGCTGGATCCTATGTCTCTCACCCTTCTCCTTTTCGTTTCGCTGTCCACTTTCTCTGTCTCCTCTCCTTCTGTTTCCGATGATTCTGCCGATGCTTCTGAAATAAAAAACGTTCCATAACATTCTTTCACTTCGCTACGCATTTAACCATCTGCTAATCTTATTACGTTATCTACCATACACTCAACTCTCAACTCTCAACTTAACAATATATATATATATATATATAGAGGGTATATTTCAAATGCAACCATGTCCATTTGTACAACCAATCCAACCCAATTAATTGAGATATTTATGGAAATGATGAGAGTTTATTTATTATGATTTAAATATTTATGAAAGATAAATAGAGTTCATTAATTATAATTAATATTTTATATTAGTAAACAATCAAAACTTATATGAAATCACATATTAATCAAATTAAATGAACGGTTGAGATTGAGTTGTATTGGTTGTACAAATGTAAAGGGTTGTATAATAACCAACCCTTCTCTCTCTCTATATATATATATTTAATATATATATCTATATATATAAAGAGAGAGAGAGAGAGAGAGAATGATCAATGATTAAAAGAAAACACACAAAAAAAACGATAACTTTTAAATAGTTAATTTGATATGAGTATCGACATACTTTTTTTAAATTTATAAGAAATCTTCAAATTTATATTTTATTCTAACATACAACCATTATTGTTTTCTCAAAACCACATAAAACCGTATTATATCGACATAGACAAAGAATAAAACAAAATATTAAAATTAAGATATATCGAGCTACATTGCATGAAGATCCTTACAGTCCATCCTTAAATAAGTGTCCAAAATTTTATTTTTACTTTATCCTAAAATAAGTATCTATTTTAAAAAATAAATAATTAAAAAAAATTAAATCTACCAATATTTAAGAGTTTGTTTTGATAGAAATATTTGAAAGTTGATAAAATAGTAAACTAAGAGAGTAAAGTTGTTATTTAATTAAATAAAAAATATAAAATTATTTATGATTAAAACTATATTATTTTTATTATTGACATTTATTTTGGGATAGAAGGAATAAAGGTTATTTTCATCACCGTTTATAAATACATTTGACTTTCACATGCAATTTTTCAATTTGTCATTTTCATTTTTTCTTAGAAGATGTTTGGCAGTTGCTGAATGATTTGGTGCAGAATGATTAAGAAACTTTTATAATATAGTGCAAAATGAAATATAATTGTTTAGTAATTATTTACAATGAAATTAGGGCGTTGAATGGTTAAGGGAGACCTAGGATACAAAATCATTCAGATGGTTTTAGAACCATTAAGAGACAGACTTTTTTTGACAAACAAGAGTCATCTCTTAATGATTCAGAATTGCCTCTTAATGGAATTATTAAGAGGTAAACAAACGACCTCTTAATATTTTTTTATTCATTTGGCTCTTTAGGAGTAAACTACACTTTTTATCTTTCTGGATATCAATTACTATCAACTTCCGTCCTTAGTTTTGTGTTTGGTACGTGAATTAGGACATGATAAGACATGACAAATTTATGATCTCTTGTTCAATGCGGCATAAGATAGGACAAAAACTCATTGTCCCACGTGCGATATGGACAGGGAAAAGGACTAAAACTTGGTGGGACAAAGTAGGAGAAAAAAAGACCCTTTGTTGTTCCACCAAACAGGTGAAACAAGAAGGGACAAGAATGAGACGGAAACTAAAAAATACAAATCTATCCTCATTTGATTAACCCTAATACCATATTTATTTTAATGGTCATTCACTGTCGATCATTGTAGCTACCACCACCAGCGGCCATTGGCAGCCAACACTGAGCACTGCCGATCACCTCCACTGCTAAAACCTCCTCCACCATCTCCAAAACCACCATCGACCACCACCACCATTGCCCACCACCACCTCAACCTTCAACAAGGTCATCCCTTCCACCATTGTGGGTTGCCGCCACCACCACTTTACATCATTTTCACATCCTATACAATCACCTTCCTCCACCACCACCCACCATCATTGTCACTTAAACAACCTCTACGACGCCTCTTGCCCACAATCTTTAAATCTTTCATTGTCACCATTATCCACCTCCGCCCACAACTACCTCCTACAACATTGTTGATCGTCACCACCGCCATTGTCCACCATCTTCACATCGTCCACCAATCACCACCGCTAATACTGCTACCACGATTATCACTGTAACAACCTCGAACGCACCTCCACCGGTATATAAGAATTTTCCAAACCGAATAAACATAGTTTTCCTTTAATCCAGTTTTTTCAAACTAACATCAATTATATAAAATTCTTCTTTAAAATTTTGTACTATTGTGTAAAAAAAATTAAAAAGAATATTTACTTGACTTGTGTCATTTGTTGCTATTACATGATATATAGAATCATCAAACTAGTCAAATCTTATTTGGCTCTAGTTGTACCAAACACCTTCTCTTGTCCAATCATGCCCTCTTGTTTTGTCAAGTCCAACCCAATCTTGTCTGCTTACCAAACACTACCTAAATTTTATTCATTATAATGTTGGTTAATTAATGTGTTGCCATTTTATTTTAATTTTCCTCTTATCCAACACCTTACTCTCATATAGAAGCTTAGTTGTGGTCACCATCGTCGACAAGGCCTCATCAAAGGAAGACTTAAGACTGGAAGCAAGAAACTTGTAGACCTCGATATTGGATCTAAGGATTGGGTGTGATCTCATTGGAAGGATTTTGATTCACAATTCATTAATAGCGCTTTCGTTTAGCTAGAGAGAAGCTCTCACACATTCTACAACACCATGAGCGCCATCACCATTAAGCTGTACCGCCACCATGAATTCTTCCTAGTGCTCTTATACCCCCTACCACCGATTTTCCTGTTCAGGATGAGGGAAGCGGAAGCTATTGGAAACGATTAGGGCTTCATATTTGTAACTTTACCCATTATATCATCAATTTCTAGGGTTTTGATTTCAATAAGGGCATGGTTATCAGTTTTTCACATCCAATATCGATCTAAAATAAATTTCGTGTTTATGGATTTGTCTTAATTGTACCATCTGTTCTAGCATTCTGCATTTCAATATGTTATTAACGTGATTCATGTGAATTTAGTAAAATTCATAAATAATTTGCTCGTCTTTTCTAGTTTAGGTTTAGACTTCATGTGTATTCATACATTTGCTCTGTTTTGTTTTGTTCGATAATAACTTGTTATATGAAATACATAAAAATGAGATTTTTATTTTCTCTTCTTTTTTATTTCTCATCTCATTAAAAAAAATGTTAATAACGTTATCGCTAACTAAAATGTTCATAGAGATGGAAATGCAGTAAGGGTGTCTTAGGACCATATTCATATCAGTGGCAGTAAGAGGTGGTTCGGAGGGAGGTGGTCAATGAAGGAAAGGAAGAGCATAAATGTGGGTTGGGTTGAGTTGGATTTTGTAAATATAAACTAACTTATAAGCTAAATTATTTTTTGGGTACACATTTGGATAGACATGAATTACCTTATAACCTAGCTTATTGAAAAGTTACTTGGAGTAGTTTAGGAGGAGCTTTCTGTCGGTTTTTTCAATTATAACCCTCATTAATATTAATTATTAATCATTATTAAATATGAATTATTAATAAATAAAAATAAAAATTAATTACTACTAATATTAATAAGTATTAGTTGAAAATTATTATTTATTTTAATTTTATATTATACACTAATATTATTTAATTAAAATTAGTTGAAAATAATTAATTAAATTTTAATTTTACATTATATATTGTTACATTAATATTAGTTATCTATAATTAATATTAATCATATTAATTATTTTTATATTATTTTTTTATTGTTATTCTATAAATTTAGTTGTCAAATATAACAATTCTAAAATATTTTATATAAGTTTCATAAAATTAAATTAGTCTAATCTTGTTTCATGGATGGTAAAATTATGTTAAGTGATTTTAATAAAATATTTAATTTAAATATTAATTATTGTTTTTCAAAAAGTATTAATTAATAAAAAAAAATTTCTAAATTTTTTTTAACAAATTTAAATCTTTATAATATATATAATAATCAATTTAATATTCTTTTAACTAACATATTATATTTATTTTAATTTTGCTTTATTATCTTCTTTGTGTTAGAATAATATATATTAAATATTTATTTTAATTATATTATAAAATATTGTAATTAACAAAATTTTCAAAATGCCATTTTTAATCATTTTACATGCTTATATATAAGCTAATTTTTTTTAAAATATGATTTGTTCATCAACTAATAGTTAATTTATCAACCAACTAACTTATCAGTTAGTTTGTCAAACATAGGCTTAGTTAGATGAATCAAGACCAAAACAAAATGGTAGTTATAAGGACCACCCGTGTAAATAAACACTGTTTATAAATGAAAGTTAGTAGTAGATGCCTACAACATGGACACAATTGTAATTTTTTTTTTTTTTATTTTTGAAAAAGTTACTTGCACTCCTTATTATAAACTCAAATTAATATCATAAATTTAAGTATAATGACAATAAGAAACAAATATGTAACTTTAACAGAAAATAAACCTTGTCATGAATTAGTCTTTGGATTTATCAAAACATGCTACCCTTTATTCACAAAGGTAAAACTTGTTTAGCTTGAAAAAAAAGTCTAATTCTGAATGGTTTTGTATCTTAGGCTTCCTTAAACCATTTGGAACTCTAATTTCATTATGAACAATTACTAAACAATCATATTTTTATTTTGCATTATATCATAAGAGTCTCTTCATTATTAATCATCCTACATGAAACCATTCAGCAACTAGCAAACAATTATAGAAACATAACTTGAATTAAGAAAAAAGAAGAATATTTGAGTAAGAAAGATTGGTATGTATTTGGTTGCATGGGAGTAGATTTTGCAAAGTAAAGGAGAGAAAAAGAAAAGGTAGATCTTGCAATCAATTGGTAGTACGAATCTTTGTGCAGTATAGCAGGCGAGCACTACATGTTGAACCCATCATCACTACCCTCCAAAATACCATAAACCTAACAAACCATTTTATTTATTTATTTTACACTAAAAAAACTTGTAATAATATTAAAAATAATATATATATATATACATATATATTGCACGATAAATCTTGATTTTTTATTTTGCGAATTTGTTTTTTTTTTTGAAGGTTTGGTATTCGTTTTATAAAGTATTTTGGTATGTTTCAATATTTATTTTGTATTTAAAAAAATGTTACCAGTTGGTTGTGTATAAGTTTTGTAGGGTTCAAATGTAGTAATAAATTGTACCTTATGTAATAATAAATATTGCATGTTGTATAATATAATAAAAAATAATTTATGAATATATAATCATATGTAACTATATTTGTGATTGAAATTTCAAAAATGGGTTAAAAGTCTTGAAATTTATAAATATATATATTTATTATTTTTTTACGATATTTCATTTCTTTATAAATATAAAGAGTTGGGTCATCTGAGACTAACTTTTTACACTTGAAAATCTACAGCAAAATGTTGTAAAGGTAAAAAAAATCCACACATTCATAACAAAAACACTGTGAAGGTTACCTTCACAACATTTTGTTGTGAAGTTTAAAATGTAAAAATATGGTTTCATATGATCCCAAATCTATATATGTATATATTAATATAAAGTTAGGATCATATGAAAACAGTAACCAAAAAAGAAAAGAGTCAGATCTTATACTAAAATGACATTTAAAATCAAATACAATTCACGTGACTTTGAATATTTGTTTGTTCTCTTTTTTAACCTTGTTTGTACATATCTCAGATTTTTTTTATGTTGTAATCTTAAAAAAATTAAAATTTCTAAAAGTATAATATAATAAAGATAATAATAAAAAACTAATTGTAATTCGTTATTTGAAAATTGTATTTTTAATGAGATTAAGAAAAGAAAACAATATATATATATATATATATATATATATATAGTTTGTTTCAAATACAACATGTTGCATTTGTACAACCAATGCAATCCAATAAATTGAGATATTTATGAAAATGATGAAAGTTCATTTATTATGATTTGAATATTTATGGAAAATGAATATGATTCATTAATTATAATCAATATTTTATATCATGAAACAATCAAAACATCTATAAAATCACATATTAATAAAATGAAATGGACGGTTGAAATTGGGTTGTATTGGTTGCACAAATGTCATGAGTTGTATAATAACCAACCTATATATATATATATATATATATATATATATATATATATATGAGCCTAATCAAATGAGACCTGATTAGTTTATGGTAACTATGAGGTCCAATCTCAACCACAAATCAATAGATAAATTAGAAATTTTATAATTTTGGTAATTTTGATAATTTTGAATTAAAATTTTATTGCAAGAACATTTTAGGTATTCTCTCTCCTCTCTTCTCTCTCCTTCCCACGTCCTCCGGTGATACCATTATGATACATAAAAATATTGACTTTGTTAAACAAAAGACACAGTGTGATACCCAAGCACATATAAGATGCATTGTGATACCACTGTGTTACGCCTCTGATCGCCACACAAACGACTTCAGTGTGATATCCAAACACATATAAGATGTATTGGGATACCACTGTGGTATCATCGAAGGACGAAGGCCGGGGGACGGAAAAAGGAGAGATGAGAGAAAATACCTAAAATGTCTTTGCATTAAATTATAATTCAAAATTACCATTATAAATTTTTCAATTTATCTATTGATTTGTGGTTGAGATTGAACTACATAATTACTACAAATTAATTAGTTCTTGTTTGATTAGGCCAATATATATATATATATATATATATATAGAGAGAGAGAGAGAGATAGATATATGAATAAAACTGAAAGAAAGAAAGGAAGAAAGAAAATTGGAAAGTGAAAGTGGAGCCACATGATGCCATGAATGAAGAGGTTTTAGAAAGTACTTGATTGTTTGATACAGCGAATGAGATGGTGAGGTTGTAACAGAGCTGTTGACTGTACCCTATTCCTATATATAATATCCACACAACAATAAATGGAATTGCAATTACTCTCTTTTCAAACCCTGCATCTTTGACCAACATTATCTATATACTTCCATCCAACCTTTTCTTTTTATTTTCTGACACCATTTTCTCTTTTTAATTTTTCTTTTTTAACAAAACTAATTACATAACTTTTTGTCATCTTAAAAGAAAAGAAAAGAAATTATTTCAAAAACAAGGATGACCAATTTTTGAAACAGCTACCACCATTTTCATTTTCATTTTCTAAAATCAAATTTCATTTTTAATATTTATTTCACAACAAAACTTTAATTTCCAGTCACATGTCAAAATGGGTGCTGTATTTTCCAAATCGTAAAAACAAAACGACATCTCAATAACATGGAAGACGACAAATAAAATAAGATAGTAGAAATCCAGATAATTTGTTTTTCCTACTTTATTTTTCTTATTACCTGAAGCTGGTGGCGGAGGATGCGTTGTCACTGCCGCCGGCGGAGGCGGAGGCGGAGGAGGAGGTAGAGCCGGCGGAAGAGGCTGCTGTTGTCTGTGGGGGATCTTCCTGTGTACGACGTCGTTTAGAGCTTCATAGATATTCAGAAGCAAATTGGAGGGCAGATTTCTTTCTTTACGTTGGGTTTTATCCATTGACCAATAAGATGGTCGATCTTGTGCAGGTGATCGGACCTCGTACTCACGAACCTTCTTGTAGTCGCGTAGCAGGTTATCCCACTTGTCATTGCACTGGTTCTGGCTTCGAAGGCAGCCATGACTCCAACAGTAATTCTCCACCCACTTCCACCGCAGCTCTCCGCCACGGATGTTGAGTGTGGCGGAGGTGGTGGCGTTAATGCGACGCTCATCGTCCAGCTTCTTTGCGGTGATCAGGACAAGGGTCTCTTCGAGGGTCCAGTTGCCTTTTCGGTACTCTCGGAGGTGGTTCGAAGCAGGCGACAAAGTAACGGTGGAAGTGGTTGCGCCACCGTGGATGATGGCCGGCAAATGGTGGTTTTTGTAGGAGATGGCAGGATAGGGGGTGACATTTACAATATTGGGGGGCGTTATGGTGGATGTGTTGGGAGGTTCAGACATTATTCACCATAGCACATATTTGATGCAAATGTGTGCATATATACATTCCATGTATTTTAAATCATATACCAAACTCAGAAAATTGGAAATATCCAGATTTTAAAATAAAAGTAAAACACAGAAAATAGGAAATTTCAAGATTTTAAACTAAAATTGAGCTCCCCTAAATTTTCTAAAAGTATCTTTTTTTTCTTAAATAAAGATAAGGGTTTTATTTTCAAATACCAAGATTACCCTAAAAATGATTACCATATGTGACAAATATCTCTTTAATCTATTTATATCAACAAAAAAACTTTGAAAATAATTTTTTAGAGAAAGCAATATAATATTTTAATCAATGTTATATTCCTAAAATATGAAATCTCTTAGAGATGAATATAATTTTTTTCAGAGATTTCAATTTTTTTTAGAGATTTCAATTTTTTTTATTCTCTATTTTGGAGAATTTGTTTAAAATACTCTAATTAAATTATGCTTAAATTAATATTCAAGTTCTAGTGTTTTTCACTAGCTAAACATCAATCAAAATCTTATTTTTTACACCTTGACTAATAGTTATGAACATAATAGTCATAAAAATCCACTACAACCCTAATGTTGGGTTTGGTATGTAGGACGGGATAGGACGGAACATAAGTTATTGTCTCATGTTTGGCACGACATGCAACAGAACAAGAATTCATTATGCATGTTTGTCACAACACGGGACAGAATAAGAACTCATTGTTCCACGTTTGACGTGACATGAGACAGGTACAAGGTGAGACAACATGGGATAAAAGAGGCTTTTTCTTGTTCCATCAAAATAGGTGGAACAAGATATGATAAGGATGAGATAGAGACTAAAATATTACTAATCTACCCTCGTTTGATGTATAATTTTCATATGGTATTTGTTTTAATAGTCACCACCGCTAGTTTTGGCCGCCGCCACCACCAACGGTCATCGTAGACCACCTCCACCTCTGCCCCTTTTTCCACTACAACAACATCCTCCACCGCCTCCACAACCACCATTCACCACCGTCCATCATCGCCTCTACCAAGTCGACCACTGACCACCACCATTCACCACTATCCATCGCCACCTCTACCAAGTCTCGACCATTGACCACCATCATCCATTGCCACCTCTACAACCACCATCGGCTACCGACCACCACCATCCATTGCCACCAACACCACCACCGTTGGTCACCTCCAACTCCTCCTCTACCGCAACTACCTCCTCCATTATCTCCACAACCATCGTCGATCACTTACCATTACTGCCCATTGCCACCTCTACAACTACCATCGACCACCGACCACTACCGTCCATTGCTACCACCATTGGCCACCTCCATCTCCTCCTCTACTGCAATAACCCCCTCTATGACCTCCACAACCACCGACCACCACCATCCATTGCCACCTCACCTCCACCATAACTATCACTGCCACTACCTTCAGTACATCGGCTACAATTACCTCCTCTACCATTATCAACTACCACCACCCCACAATTCACCATCCTCACGTCCTTCACAAACACCGTCATTCACTAACCACCACTGCCTCCACCTCCATAACCACCATTGGCCACCGACGATCACCGCCCATTGCTACTACTACTATCGGCCACCACCACCTTGACCATAACCTCCACCACCTGCACCACTGCTACCCACCACTATTACTACCTCCACCACCACCACCACTACCAGCAGTTATATCAAATTTTTCATTCAAATTTGATACCATTACATATGCATGTATTTATTTATAAAATTGTGAAAAAATATTTATAAGTTTATTCTTTGATTATTTACTTTATTTGTATTAATTATAACTTTTGTATAATATTTAAAATCATCAAATAACTTTTGGGGGCAACTTATCTAGTTATGTCTCATCCAGTCATAGTCATATCAAACACCAAACAGACACTTGTTATGTCCAATCCTGTCTCGTTCAGTCTAGTCTAGTCTTACCCACTTGTCTTGTCAAGTCTTGTCTAATTTTATACTGTCCAATCATGTCTGCATACCAAAAGCTACCTTAGGGTGATTCACCCAAAGGTTTTGGTCAGAAACATCAACCACATTTTCAAGATTAAGGGTGTTGGATGTCATGTGTTGATTTACACTATAATCAATAATCCACCTAGGTCGACAGGTTTTAGTCATACCTGCTATCATTGATTGCCAAAAACCGGTCCCAGGCCGGGCCTAATCGGTCCCAAGCTTTTCCATAACCGGTCTTGGTCCTGGTCCCGGTCGAAAATGGTAGGACCAGTCAAGGTACTTCATAACCGGTTATGGGCCGCTGGTCCCAGTCCCAACCGGTCCTGGCATTAAAAGTAAGATTATTTTTTTAATGATATATATTTTTAATACATTATAAAATTTACAATTGGGTCACTCAAATACACTTTAAAAATACGTTTTAATATAATTAAAATTACATTGTCTTATAAAAATACATTGTAAATTATTTGAAAATACATTTATTTATTAAATTATTTGAATTTTCGGGCCGGTCCATAGCCGGTCCCATAACCGGTCCCGCTCCCAGTCCCAAGAAACTACAAAAAACTCCAACCGATCCCGGTTTTCGGTCCCATAACCGGTCCTTACCAGTCCCAGGCCGGGTCGGGCCTTTGCCGGTCCTGGTCCTCCGACGGTCCCGAGCCGGGCCGGGCCGATTTGGCCATCACTACTTGCTATATTGGACAAAACCCCTTCTGAAGTAGGCTTATGATATGTTAGACCAAGAATTTTAGCAACATGTTCCTCAGAAAATGGAAATGAAGGTATGGACACAGGTTGTTTAGTAAAATGAGAAGTAAACATGCTCATATTGCTAGCTAAGGGCATAAAATTTTTATTTTGAGATTTCGATCTATTTTGAAAATAATTTGGAAACCCTATGAGTTTAAAACATCTTTCAGTAGTGTGTCCAACAATGCCACAATGTTTGCACATAAGAGTGGAGGGTTTGCCAAATCTTTTCTTATTTTCATTGGCTTTGCTTAAGAAAGTAGCATGTTGTGTTTTAGTGTGAGGTGAAGAAGTGTTCCCCCTCGGTGAGATTATTCTCTAGATACAAGAGAAAAGACAGTTTTCACCAAAGGAAGAGGATCTCGTGTAAAAATATTGCTTCTAATAGGTTGATAAACAACATCAAGACCCATTAAAAATTGCATAAGTTTGATGAGTTGATTGTGTTTAAGAAAATCATGCGAAACATTGCAAGTACATGAAGGGAGATTGACAAGAGCATCAAATTGTTTCCACAATGAGTTGAGTTTATGATAATATTCAGAAATAGATGTGTAGATTGAATGTAAATGATCCATCCACTCTGTCATATGTTTCTTTCAGTTCATCCCACACTTTCGATGCCTCTTTAGAAAATATTTGTCCTAAAAAGAGATCCTCAATCATGGAACTTAATATCCACGAAAAAACAACAACATTACATCGATCCCATTGTTTTTCTAGGATAGAGTCATTTTTGGGACGAAGACATGACCCGTTATTAAATCCAATTTTACTTTTAGTTTCTTGTGCTAAAGCCATAACACATGCCTAAACTTTATAATTTTCAGTACCATCCAATTTAAAGTTCAATAGAGGAGCTCTGGTGGTGTCACTAGGATGAAGATATAAAGGATATCCAAAGTCTAGTTTAGCAACTTTAGATTCCCCTGAACTCCGAGTGTCAACATTTGGCCCAACAATAAGCAAGGAACACATAAGGTAAAAACTGAATAGGTTAAAGCAGGATTCCTAAAACACTCTTAAGGTGCTAGGTCAATCCCATTATTCAGTTACCACAACAATAAACAGAGAACTATAACCAAAATAAGAAAGGGACAAACCAATAACTTACTTAGCAACAGGTGAGCTAAAGGGAGACTTATAAAGATCCTTTAGAGAAGCGCAACAGAAGAGAAAGACAATGAGAGCCCCAACACCTTAGACAAAAGTTAGAGCACCTAAACAGGTCCTCTGAACTCTTAAGACTTAACCATGGTTAAATCAAAGGAGGTCAGAATATAACAAAGAAATCCAGTACCTAATCCATAACAAATGAAGTACGCCTGTTCTCTGAAGGGAGGAACATGTTTAAAACAGTAATAAACCAAACATGAAAGAAAAAATAGAAAAGGGATAAGATTTTAACAACAAAAAACCTTAAATGAAGACATATATACATCTGCTCGCCCAAAGGTCAATCAACCAAATTTGAGATCAATAACAAAATAAAAAACACTACACTAACTAGATTTGAAAACAACTTAACAGATAAGAAGATTAACCACAAAAAAGAACATGTTAGATTTAAAGCTTCTAAAGCTAGCCCTATGTCACTAGACTGTTAAGATTGGTGACGGGTATACAAAGCCTGAAGATTTGATCTGGAAAGATGGTGAGCTAGACAAGCAAAAAGCAAAACTCAGTCCACATCAACTGCTAAGTTGAATATGTAGCCACTAGAAGCTATTGTGCCAAACTATTTGGATGAAAAACCAGCTCAGTGACTATGATCTTCAACTCTCAAAGATCCCTATATATTGTGATAGCACTAGTGCTATTGCTACTGCAAATAATCTTGTATTTCATTCTAAGACCAAACATATTGAGATCATGTTATTAATGGTAATATTAAAATTCACTTTGTACCTACTGAGTACCAACTCACTTATTTATTTACAAAATATTGGTCCCAGACAGATCTACAAGAGTTGATAGTTAACAGTTTGTAGAGGGGGTGAATATAAACATACAGTTTTCACTTTTTAAAAACCTTTATGATATGAGAAGATTATAACATAATATACAAATTGTTTGCGGAAAAAGATAAAATACAAAACTTATCAAAACAATCTAGGAAGCACACGAGATACAAAAAAGCAAGACAAAAAGTTCTTGATTGAGAAGATGTTATGACTTTGCTTGAGAGTAAAGCTTAGTTTTACATGTATATGTTGTTCTTCGCTATATGGAGAA